GAGATAATCTGAGCTTTGTGAAAAGGCACATTGTCCTGTTTGAAGCAGCCGTCAGAAGACTGGTACACTCTTCATAAAGAAATAAGCATGGTTAGCAACAATGTTCAAGCAGGTTGTGGTTTTAAAACAATACTCAACTGATACTGAGAGGCCCAAAGTGTGCCAACAAAATATCCCTAACACCATTACTGGACTGTTGATACAAGGCAGAATGCTTTCACGTTGTTTACACCCAATTCTGAGCCTTTGTGAATTGTTGACACTGATGGCACTGTGTGGTCTTTTGCTGCTGTAGACCATCTGTTTGAAGGTTTTCTGGATACCTTTGGTATTTTAGTTATTGTCGCCTTCCTGTGAGCTCAAAGCAGTTCTCTGGCATCAACCATTTCAGCTATGACACTTACCAACTTACTGAAATCACCGTCCATACTCATTCTAATGCTTGTGTTGGGCTTGAGTAGGTTGTTTTGACCATGTCTGCGTGCCTGAATGCCTTAAGTGTTTGCTACGTGACTAGCTGATTAGATATTTGCTTTAAAAAGCATTTGAACAGGCATACTTGATAAAGTGAGTAGTTGTGCGTTGTTCATCATATTCTGACAGCAGTGCATTCTGCATTGTAGCAGCGCCAATAGGAGTATGCTCTCAGGAGTTAAGAGGGCGGCCAGTGTTTTTACAGTGTCTGAGACAGACTTTCTTCTACTTTGAGTTCACCTCTGTGATCGGTTTTTGTGGCCAACCTGGACATAATGGCTTCAGCAAAGTACATTTTTATATTCCCCTTCAATGCGATGCCGCATGCAGTTTATAGTATCAATCAAGTCCTAAGTGGCTATTGCTTAGCAACACAGGCTCTATCTCCTCTATCTCCCGCTTCAACTTTTTATGAATACACGCACAAACAAGTCTCGGCTGCAAGCACACATATACTTATTCATGCGACTTTTGTATATGATTAGTATAATGACTGTAATTAATCAGAGACTCTATGTGTGTCTGTTGCGATGTGGAGGGAAGGGGTGTTGTGAGGTGACAGTGTTCATTTTAGAGTGCTTTTTAGTGCTCCACTCTCTCTTTAATGACCCTAGCAGGGGCCCAAAGAAGAGCAGGCTTTACACTGCGAACCATTCCTCACGTCTTCCTGTGTCCTAATGATAATGATACAGCTGTCCCTGTGCACCTGAGAGCTAGCGATACATCCCCCCACTCCATTAGTCCATTAGGGAGAACAAGGAAGGAAAGGAGGAAATCAAGAGAATGAGAAAGAGCGAGACAGTCTGGGCTCCAACCATTGCACCCATGGTGATTCTGTAGACAATGTGATGGAAGATCCAGACACATCTGCAGCTGCAGGACTCTGTGAAAATGTGAATCTGAGAGAAGTGCTTGGATTTATCTGAGATATTTTCCATTCTTTAATTCATAAGCTTGGTGCATTAATATTGCAGCAGAGAGTTCATGCTTACCCCACCCCTGGAAGAAAAAGTCCAAAAAACTGCGACTGCAACCCTTTAGGCACAACAACTTGACTCCAGCTCCAGTCATGACACTTGCTGCTGCATGATCCCCAAAGCTGATGTTTTATCTCTGCAACTCAAGGGTGACTCATCCATGAGAAAGGGATCTCTGTTGCTGCTTTGTCGGTTCACCCCTGTGTTCGTTTGTGTGTATGCGTGGGAAGGTGGCGTTTTGATTTTTGTTAGTGTTTTTTGTGTATGACCTTGAGCAGCACTCGAGGCTGATTGAGCAGAAGCAACGTCGGAAAGCCGACAGACTAAACGCGGTATGATACCAGCCGGGTTTAATGCGCCGGCGTTCTTGGCAGGTAGAAGGGGCTGTCAATCATGGCAGTAGCCATGAGGTGCGTGCAGATGAGTCACAGCTGTCTGCTAATGCATTTGAAGGGGATTTCTTTCTTGAAGTCCCTTTTTTGCACAGTCAGTCTCGGTTGTTTCGAGGCTCTTACAAAATCTTGCAAACTATGCACCGTCTGTTTGAGCGTTACAATGAAGTGAAGTGAAATCATTAAATGAATCAATGTTTTGTACCCCAGTTCACCTGGTTAGTTTCATCACACAGAGCCCTATAGGCACCCAGACAGCTCAAACTAAGAAAAGCTCTTCACTACTTCCTCATCTCTGATGAGATTGCTGCTATTTCACACCTATTAAAACAGAAAATAGAGGAAGGCTTTTTCAAATGGGTTTTCACATGTTATACACTAGACAATCTATGGATAAGTCTTAAAAGATGAATTTTCATTGTTCAACTATTAACTAATTAAACTATAAGAACATTTGGGATAAGATTTGTGGCTCTTTTCCAAATATAGACTGTAAATAAAGGGTGGACGTAGCTATTATGACATCATCAGCTGTTTTTGGAAAGCTTAAATTGAGGAATTTGAATCTGACCTACAAATTAAGAATGCCAAATGCTCATATGGCAGCAGCTCTCTAGTTATAATGCAGGCCTGGCATTGTTTATCGTCTATTTTACTTAAATGGGGCCATAATTTACAAAAATATACGTTCTGCTTTATTACAGAAGTCTTAAAGTTAAAGGTAGACACTAAACATTAATCAGGAAAACATTTAAGGAGATCATAAATAACACAACTTAGATGGTTGTTTTCTGATAGACTTCTATACAACTCGATTTGTTTTTCATTTCCCCTGGATCGCCACCTCCTGGCCACTAGAAAGAATGCAGGTTTACACTTTTATATCCTTGTTCTTCATATAAAATCGAATAACTGCGTTAATAAGGAAACAGGAACAGTAAAGTAGCAATGAATACTCCATAACATCCTGACTGTTATAAATGTTTTTAATGACAAACACAAACTGACCATCGCTCACTCGCTTTCTCGCTCTCGCTCTCTCTCTCTTTTCTTTATTTGATCCCATTGATATGGTCATGCACTCAGAAATGCTACGAGACGTAATTAGCTTTAGCTAGCAACCACCCTCTTACTTTTACTGCTGCTCTTTAATTTAAAACGATGTTGGCCCACTTTTCACAGCATCTTTCATCTTCAAAACCCACTTTGACCATTCAGCTAAGAAATTTTAAATAAACTTCCTTTTAATGCATGAGATCTGAGGGTGAGGATCATACAATTTTAAAATTCACAGTTTCTGCTGAACGTCTAGTTCAGTGAGGATGAATGTACACTGCTACAGTACATGAGCCCTGGCCCATAATATGGCAATTCTGAATGAAAACACTGTCACACTGATAATCTCATAAAAATGCAGTTTGTAATTTGTTCAAACCTTTAAACAAAAATTCTTAGGAGCTTGAAAATGCCCAGGGAGCCTCTTTATAAAGACTGTGCTACATCGTATGATGTGGTATTCTGCAGGACAGGCTAAAAAATAGCTCCTGGAGTCAGGCAGGTATAGTGCTTTTATAAGAATATAACTGTAAAATTATTACAGTATACATATGAAGATATGTTTACCCTTTATTTTCCATTATCCTATTGTCTCCTTGGCAACATAATTTTATTTGTGCCACTCTTTAAAAAGCTTTGGGTGTGAGTTGCTTTGAAGTCTTTTGGTTTCATAAAAATAAAAGTTTATGGTCATCCAGGGGGGAAAAAAAAGCTGGACTCATGAATGACCATCATAAATAAGCACTTAAAACATTGAAGATTTACTTCCATCTGTCATAAGATGTATATGAATATAGAGGATTAAAATGTGTTTATACAAATATTCAAATAAAAAAATTATATTGTGATCTAAGCATCGGTGTCCTTCATTACAATATAAATATTTATTTTTTTCACACTGTAGAATATTTCCAGTCTAAGCAGAAAACAATTTTTTGTGTAACATTTAGGTAAAATTACAGTGCTTGGAAAATCAAGTTATGTTTTATCAGAGAAAATAGCTACAATATTTGCATTGATATTAACCAAACGATAACTTAAATGACAGAAAAAAATCATGTTGGTTGTTTTTAATTAAAACCCACTTGAACATTTTTTTAAATTGCAGCTGTCTTTATACAGTCTCTCACTTCAGAGGCTTAAAAAACTGTTGGACAAGATAAAATAATTTTAGATATAAGTATTATTTCTTTATACTTTCATAAAAAACACCAGCTGCTGTGTTTTCTCCCTTCAGATGCTCTGTTTGGCTTTTACTGCAGCCACCTTCAGTAGCTGCTCATTTGTGGGTCTCTGCCTTCAGTTTTGTCTTCAGTAGCTGAAAAGCATGCTCTGTTGGACTGGGATCAGCTGACTGACTTGGTCATTGAAGAATATCCAATTTCTGTCTCTTGAGAAACTCTCGGGTTTCTTGGGTGCAGCTTGCTTTGGGTCATTATCCAGTTGCACTATGAAGCACTGTCTGAGCAGTTTGGCTGCATTTGGCTGAATGTGAGCAGAGAGTACAGCCCCGTGCACATTTTGCTTCTTCTACCAGCAGTCACATCAACCAGCACTTTCGTTCGGTTTCCCTGGCAGCCATACATGCCCACACCGTAACATTGCCTCCATGTCTGACAGATAATATGCTTTCGATCATGAGCTGCTTCTCTCTGTCATACTTGTGTCGCCCCATCACTCAAGTTTAGAAATTATATTTTTCCAGAACTAAAGGCTTTTTCAGATGTTTTCTGGCAAATTCTAATCCGGCCTTCTTGCTGAGTTCAGCCAGTAGTCTGCACCTTGTTCTGCATTCATCTCCTATTCATGAAGGCTTCTATTGATTGTAGACCTTGACAGTGATACTCCTCCTCGGGAGTGTTCTTGATTTAAGTGTTCACCTGGACCTTTAAGTGTTGCCTTTGAACATTTGCCTCTTGAACATTAGCCCTTGAACTGAAGTTGAAAATGTATTGTCTCAGATGGTGTACAAAGGCAAAAGGACACAAATTGGTGCAATTGTCCAAATATACGTGGATCCAACTGTATGTTGTGGATGATCTTTATATTATAAACTGCTTCTCTATCACACCACGACTTCAACTCTCATTTTTTCCCCCAGATATCAACATGGCTGGAGAGCCCAAACCGTACAGGCCTAAGATGGGCTCCAAGAGGCCTCTCTCATCCCTCTACAGGTGAAACATGTTTTTCTTATTTTAGAGTGTCAGGTGGATGTTCCTTTCCTGACCTACTTTTTCTGTTGTACCCTCTCCCTCTGCTGTCTGTAAAATATGTGTTTATGATCCTCTCTGGCAGGCTGTGCTCTTAAGGACAAACAGCCAATTCCCTACTTGTGCTATTAGTGCCATTTTTTTTGTCTGTTGCTGTTACACACTTTGCTCTTTTGTCATCTCGTTGAAAGAAACAACAACAAAACAAACAAAAAAAAAAGTCCAAACAAAGTTGCTTGGCAGTATAATAAAAATACAAAATAACACCTTATTCAGGCTTTTAAAGGAATAGTTTTGGGAAATGTCTCTTCCTGCGGGGGCTTTGAATATGATTTACATAGTTTAAGACACAGACTGGAAACATGACCAAATTCTGTCTATATTATATTCTGTCCCAAATAAACAGGATCAACCCAGCAGACCCTCTGTTAAAAGCTTACACAGTCGTGTGAAACAGACAGGTTTGGCAGGACTCTTTGGAAAAATGTAGTGCACACTTAGTGCTTCAATCAGAATTAAAAGGGTAAGTAGCAGCCAGGTGCTGTTAATCAAATGCACTTGATTAACTGATAATCAGCACGTGTGAGCGCCCCCATAAGAGCAGAGGTTTTGACAGTTTGCTGGTCTGGAGCTTTCAAGATTGTCAAAAAATCCACAAGATACATCTCCGACTCAGTTAGCTTATTGAAATGTTAAAGTTCACCACAATACAAAATGGAACAAGTGTGGTTTGTTTGGGAGGTTTGCACAACAAAGTGTCTTCTCTCTAAAAAGAAAACAGCAGCACAGCTTTGGTTTGCATGGTTCTGGAAATCTTGTGAACAAACCACTTCTAGGACAATGTCATTTAGACAGATGACACCAAACTGACAATGTTTGACTATAATGCAGTGTCATGTTTGGTAAAAACCAAACCCATCAGCACAAACACCTCATACCAACTGTCAAGCACCGTAGTGAAGGGGTGGTTAATTGGACTTGGTTTGAAAATGCAGTCCCTGAGTTTACCATAAACTCCTCTGTATACCAAAGTGTTTTAGTCAAATGTAAGGCCATCTGTCCTACGGCTAAAGCTTGGTTGAATCTGGGTAATGCACATATCAAGCCTAGCAGCAAATCTACAACAGTCTCTTATTATACAAGCTATAATAACTTGAAGCAAATGAATCATTGGGTGTTCCTTGGTTTTCTCACACTGCTTCAACATGTCGGCTTAGTTGTTGTTAAATAAGTGAGATGGTGTGTTTAAATAATTTTAGAATTTGGTATTGAGTCATGAGGCTATGAAAGGTTTATTAGTATAATTTTTTTGCATGATTATGTGTTATTTAAAAGATAATAAGATAAGAACAAGAGTTTGGGAACTCCTTTACTAGAGGATTTGAAAATGAGAAGGAACACAACATACACATAAGAAATTCTACCTATTTAAACTGTCTCACTAAAATTTAATAAAATCTGACAAAACACGTGTTTTATGTTTGTATGTTAAGTAAAATGGTCATGTTGTGGTTTTGTAGCAGTTTTATGTGCCAGACTGATTTTGAAGAGATTACATCAAACATGTTGCCTGGGTAAAACGTGCTGAAACATGTCAAAGATCCAATCTTCATAGTAGATCGTATCTGTAAAGGGAGCTACTTATTCATCATAGTTGACGATTCTAGTGCGCTGTCTTGCTTTTACTGCTAATTGGTTGCTAGCCCAATAGCTGTAAAAGTGTACTTCGAGCTTAACAACTATCCTGCAACACAAATCTGTTACATTAGGAAGGAAGCTGTCATGAACCACAGTATTTTCATCTGTATTCTTGCCATTGGCCAGTGGGGATGCTTATTAAAAGGCAGGAGGGGAGGTTTAGGAAGACGACAGCTAGCAGCTGGACAAATTTCCTTTGTTTCAGCCTTTTGTGAATTGATTAGAACCGTGCGCCTTTAGGTAGTCAGGCGCTCTAATCACACAACTTTAATGTGAAGGCTGTACCGAGGTGCTGGGGTAACAATAGATGAAATACTCTTCACATCACAGTGAGCAATGCAATGGGAACAGAGTGGCCTGCATCATTATAGAGCTCAGATTTTCTTCTTCTTTTTAAATTTGCAAAAGAATTCAAACATCTGTGCCTGATTTTTGCCTCCAAATCCAGAAAAGAGATCGCTCTCTCGGACCTGTGTGTCAGGGGCGGGAAGATGGCAGCACTATGCAACACACACACACACACACACACACACACACACACACACACACACACACACACACACACACACACACACACACACACACACACACAGTGTGTATTTATATCCTTGTGGGGACATCTCATTGACATAATCCTTTCCCTAGCTGCTTACCCTAACCATCAAAAATGAATGCCTGACTCTTACCCTAAAACTAATCAGAACCTAATTGTAACCCTGACACAAAAACCACATTTCGAGTCTCAAAAATGCCTTCAAACAGCCCACAAGGGCTGTTTGTCCTCACAAGTATAGTAAACTACCAATTTTTGGTCCACATGAAGATGTTAATACCCATCCACACACACGCGCGCACACACCCACACACAGTTATTGAAAATACTCATGAAAATGAATTCGTTAGGCACAATATTGTAAATGACAGTGCTTTAATTTCTCTACATTTATCAAGTTTGTTCGAGTTTTACTGTCGCTGCTTCCTTTCTTTTTCCAAAATGGAAGAGTAAGTTGTGTAGCTGTGAGCAGTGTTGAGCTGCCCACCGTCTCTCAAGCTCTTTTGATTCCTGCTTTCTTTTATCCTGAATTTTTGAAAAGTAATCAAAATGCAACCATCAGGAACTCGTGCATATCGTGGCAGAAGTCTTAAGGCCACTCCTGTTGTGCCAGATTTATCACAGTGTAATTTGTAGCCGGGAACGGAAGCTTCCTGTTGTCAGCAGTTGTTTGTAGAAATAGCCTGCATTACCTTGCTTTCTAGTTTGATGGGAATCTGGTAAGTTTACCGCTATAGCAACCAAGAAAGAAATGCAACATAATGAGGCAAACTTGTTGTTGGTGCATTTCATTTTTTAAATGGATTAAAGGAAATTCGATTCCAGTGCTCAGCTCAGTTAAGAAACCACACATCAAATCTTAACAAGAAGGAATTTTCCAGTAATAGTCTTTTAGGACAGCACTGAATAAAGAATTCAGTCTAAATGTATTTGCACCGTCATTTTCTTCCTTTATTGTTTTATGTTTTTGTGCACAAAAATCAAAGTAAAATAGAAATGTTCTCTTTTATTTCCACAGTGGCTATGAATTTGACTACGACTACTACAGAGATGACTTCTACAGTAGGTATGTTTAAAAAAAAAAAAAACGTTGGCTCACTGGTAAATAACACGTCTTTGTCATTTGCAACTTTTCTTTTTTCAACCAGTCCCTTTCCTCCCGATATTTTGCCCTTAGTATACACATCCTTTCTCCCCATTTCCCATCTTGAATAAAGATGATTTTTGAGCAGAATGGCCCCATTTCCTTCTGAGGCAAAGTAACTACATTATCACAGGCATAATGAATGTCATATTGAGGAGGTTTTTATTCCTCTCCGTTGGGCTTACTAATGATGCTTTTATCCGCATAGCCGGGTACTGAATGTCAGATAGTCCCCCGGCTGGTCATTTGCGCTGGCAAGGCACAGAATGTATCTTCATTCTGACATTTTCATTGGTTTGTTTACTTCCTCTTCTTTGCAATATCCCCAAGAGCAGAATCCTTCAGCTTTGAGTCATTATTGCTATTTTGGCAATTTGATATGTCAAAGGCAACTGGGAACAGGCTTTGATTGAATTGCTGTGGCATTGTTCAATGTGTACCTCTATCATTCAGACATCTTTTGCAGCATGTCTATTTAGGTGCTTTGTAAGTGTTCCTTGCTGCTTCAATAAAAACATCTGACCAAAAACAAGGAAAAAAACTCCACAAAAACTCCCATAGTGATTACAGAGTTATATCCCCACTTTTTTTGTTTTGTTATTTCTCTGCATTGTAATACTCTTGGAATATTTCTGTTGCTACAACTTTATTCTTCATGTGTCTTCAGACTGTTTGAGTACCACGGCCGCGTTGTGCCTCCGACCCGAGCTGTGATCCCCATCAAACGCTCACGACTAGTTGTCCCAACCACACGCAGAGCCAAATCCTCTTTTCCAGTCAGGGCTTGCTCTTCCTCTTCCTCCTCCTCTTCCTCCTCCCGAGCACTCAATGTCGGCTCTTCCATCACTGGCCCTAAACGTATGTTTGGTGGTTTTTCTTTGTCCCTTTTTGTTCCTATAGTATCCTGCCATCTCTAAAGTGATTTCCAAATGTTTTCTAAATGTGATTTTTATGTGATTGTTTGTTTTGAACTTACCTCCATGTCCATTTTTGGGGTTTGAGTCAAGTTAATGGCAAAGAAAATAAATTCAGCCGCTACAAAGAACATTTCCTATTATCATAACTTTGAACACATGTTGGCGGGTATCATTTCTGCCCATTATGATGGAAATGTACTCAGCAAGTGTAAATGCTAAGCTCTGGAAACAAAAAAAAAAGGTTAATAATCGAAAAAGGTCAGGCCTGCAATTCCTGATTATTTTCATTAGTAGTCTTGATAGTCCCTCTTGAACTGATTAGAGTATACGCTCACTGGACACTTCATTAGGTACACCCGTTCAACTGCTCTTTAACTCAAATATTTAGCCAGCCAATCACATGGCAGCGACTCAAAGATTTTAGACATGACATGGTCAAAATTAATCTGTTATATTATGTCATCATCATAATAATAATAATAATAATAATAATAATAATAATAATAATAATAATAATAATGGATTGGATTTATATAGCGCTTTTCTAGGCACCCAAAGCGCTTTACAATTCCACTATTCATTCACTCTCACATTCACACACTGGTGGAGGCAAGCTACAGTTGTAGCCACAGCTGCCCTGGGGCAGACTGACAGAAGCGAGGCTGCCATATTGCACCATCGACCCCTCTGGCCAACACCAGTAGGCGGTAGGGTAAAGTGGCTTGCCCAAGGACACAACGACCAGGACAGAGAGAGCAGGGGGATCGAAAAGGCAACCTTCCGGTTACAGATGAGCTTCCCAATCCCCTGAACCATGGTCGCCCCCAAGGCGTGGAGGAAACTTTCTTTGCTCAATTTGGGCCTCTTAATATCAACTGGGCATTGTTTAAATGCCACAGACTACTTGAGTATCGTTATTGACCATGCCCAGTGCCTTTTTGACCACAGTGTACCCATCGTCTAATGGCTGGTTGTAGCAGGATATAAAACCATGTCACAAACCTCAAATCTTCTCAAATGGGTGTCCTAAACAAGACAGTGAGTTCACTGTACTAAAATGTCCTGCACAGTCTCCAGATCGCAGTCAAATAGAGCACCTTTGGGATGTGATGCAGGGGGAGATTTGCATCATGAATGTGCACCCAATAAATCTGCAGTGTGCACTGTGTGATGCTATCATGTCAGCGTTGAACCAAAGGTTTTGAGGAATGTTTCCAGCATCTTAATGAGTCTTTGTTGAATAACATGAAGAATGAAGGCAGTTCTGAAGACACAAGGAGGTCCAACCTGGTCCTAGTAAGGTGTACCTAATTAAGTGTCTAGTGAGTGCATTTAAAAAAAAAATTGTAATTTTTAAGATGCCAAAAACTGACATTTACAGCTCAATTAATCGAATTTTAATCACGATTACGATCTGGGCTTTCAACGATCATTAAAAATGATTGAGCCGATTATTAGCCCCTCCCTCATTTATCCGCGACACCTTAAAGGCCGGTCCGTGAAAATATTGTCGGGCATAAACCGGTCCGTGGCGCAAAAAAGGTTGGAGACCGCTGATTAAGAGGACCCGAGGGAAGCTCGGAAAACTAAGCAGAAGTTATTTGGAGAGGAGAGAGTGACTGCTGTTGGTTGAAAAGAGAGGTAAAAAAAAAAACTTTAGTGGTGTTGCACACTATTTTATATTATTTTTTTAAAGTCATTGCTAACCCTTTAAATCCGGTCAGAGCAGCACGCTCCGTTTTGTGTAACTATTTTTAAATCCCTGTAGAACCTGAACCGTGTAAGATAGCGCAATAATTTGTTTTGCATATGAAACCGGAGGAGTTGTACTTACATCTTATGCCATCAGCTTGTCCTCAGTCACGGTTTCCTTCCACATATAGCTTTGCAAAAATTGCATAAAAAGCGCTTGCAGGAACAAAAACATAATATTCCAGAAACACGCTTTGCTGATCCGATCAGCTGTTCGTAACACTTCCCACAGTGGAACAGACGCAGCGCGAACTATCGCATGTCCGCCATTTCCTGGCCGAAACCGGAAGTGACGTCATTTTCGCGGAAATGTAGTTTTTTTTTACTTGTAGGCCTTAAAAACCTATACGGGTCATGTTT